AATGATTTAAAAATGCATAAAAACACAAATACTTTTCCAAAGAATATATACTGATGGCATACGTGCATACAAGGTGCGTGAAGCCAATCATTTCATTACGAAAATGCAAACCAAAGCCGTAAGATAACTACACACCATTAGTTTGAAAGTTTCTTAAAAATACTCTATGGCTCTCTCACACCACTACTAAGTATTTCTGAGATTTATTCACATTAGCACATGTAATTCTACTTGGTTTATTTAAATTAACAGTGCATGCACAATGCCAGTTTTTCTATTTCTTTTTCATTGTATTGGCTTCTGATTTGTTGAAATGACAAAACACAACTATAACATTAGACTATATACACATACAAGCTTTTCTAAGAAGCTGCCAAATTAGTCTTCAAAGTAACTATAAAAATTTTTACTTCTATTAGCAGTACATGAGAATTCCTATTGCCTTACTTTGTTATCAATACTTGGTATGCATTATCAGACTTAATTTATGCTAACTTAACTAAAATAAGATGGCACTTCTAGAAATTGAACATCATATTGTAAATTGCTTATATGCATTCTGTTTTCTATTCATATATACATATATATGTAATTTACATTGATTTACTCATGCTCAATATAAGTAGATTTTACACATCAATAAAAAATCAAGACTACATTCCTTTAATTCTATATTTAGGAGCTATGTCTCTCAGTTTCTTTATGTGAAAAACAGGAATAATAATGCTATAGGATTATGATGATTAAAAGTTAACAAATACACCTTAAGTTGTTTCAATCAATTCCTGGGACATTGTGTAAAATCCACAGAGCCCCAGCTCCCTTCCTGAGGCCAGAGTGTATGAATAGAGCCTCTATACTTGCCATAGGGCCAGACAGAAACCTACAAGTTTTACAAGACAGACTTGTGCTCAGCTCTACAACACTGCCAAGTGCAACTTGGGTGCTGGGTGAGCCCACAGGAACACACTGGTTCCAATGGCCATGAACCTCAGGTGAAACCCAGCTTAGCATCCGCTCTGGCAACCAAAAGACTCTTTGCACCTTTTGTCTGCCAATCCCAAGCAAGGAACAATGAAGAAAGACTTCATCTGCTACGTGGTAGGACAGGAAAATAAGCATGAGATTTTGCTTTGGAACTCTGCAATTGGCCTGCCATGGTGAAATTCAACACCAGTAAGAACCCAACAGCCTCTTTTTCCAGGCTCTAATTCACCCCCATTACCAAACCGAAACTGTAGCCAAAGTAGAGAGACAATGACATTTTGACCTCTCACAGTCAGCCAGCTATGGCAGTCTTATGCCACAAAAAGGTTACAACAGATGGCAAGAAACCTCACTGCACGTCTGTATCCTGCCCCTGTGCTGTGCTGATCTCAGGAGGACCTGGGAACAAAGCAGTTGGGATGGCTACATGACTGCTTGCCTACCCCATTTATCCCCAATCCCAGGCAGTACAACATGGAGAGTTACAGCCACTTCAAGGAAGAAAGAGGAAGTGAACATAAGTATCTGGATTCACAGGGCACACCACACTTGGGGAGGAGGCTCAGTGCTGGGACAGAATCCTGTAGTGCATAAACACAGGCCAGTAACTGTGGACAAGGCATCTGGGCCCATCCCGGCGCAGGTGGAGACCTAAAGAAATAGCAGGAGCAGACTACCTCTTTCAGGCACTCCCCAGACTCATCTTAAATACACCAATCACTGATTTGTGACAAACTTGAGTTTGAGGCGCCCTCTACTGCTGAAATAGTGGCAATGACCACAATTTCAGTGAAATTAAAGAGCCTAGATGTGTATTCTGAAAGGATGGGCACAATCAAAGCAAACCAGATTATACATTAGAATACAATAGCTAATCCTTCATTGCACTAGACATTGTTACATCCCAATAATCATTACGACTTTCAGGGTATCATGACTTTATCTCATGAACAAAATAAGACATTCCTAACCATGAGAAAACAACTGCTGCATGGGATCTCTCAGACAGAAAACTCAAAATATTTTAAGGAAATTCACGGAACTTCAAGAAAATATAAGAGAAACAATTTAAGTGAAGCTTAAAGGCTAAAATGATTTTTAAAAATCAGTCAGAAACCCTAGAGCTGAAAATACAATGACAGAATGAACAGTATGATGTAAGGCGGTGCATGTGGCAAACCTTTTAGAGACCAAGTGCCCAAACTGCAACCTAAAGCCTATTTATTTATTGCAAAGTACCAACAATACAATTACACATGAACGTTCAGCTGCTGTGTTGATGCTGGGGGTGATGCCAGGGCGAAGTGGTTCATATGCCACAGACAGGATTCAGCCTGCCCACTGCAGAGCACATGCCATAAGTTCACCACTACTGACACAAGGCACCCACAGCAAAAATCAAACCAACTGAAGAAACAATCAGTGAGCTTGAAGACAGGTTATTGGAAAATACATAGAGAAAAAGAAACCATAGCACTACATTAAAGACTTAGACTGGGGTTCAAGAGGCATTTGAGAATACCAAAAGTAAAAAGCTTAAAGAGATAACAACAGAAAAATAGTCTAAATAGATGGGAATGGATGTTAATACCCATTTTCGGTAACAAACACATCATCCAGTCAGGGAATCAATAATGAAATAGCAAAGCTAAACTACATCCTCAGTCAATGAGCCTAATAGTCACCTATAGAACACTCTATTATTCTACACTACTGATCATGCTAGGCCACAAAAAAAGTCTCAACAAATCTTAAAGAACTTAACAGTGTTCTCTTTTCTGATCACAAGTGACAAAATGAGAAATTATTAACAACAACAAAACTTTTTGGAAACTGTACAAATACATGAAAAACAACTGATACCTAGATAACCAATGAGTTAATAAGGAAGTTAACAAGAAAATTAAAAATTTCCTGAGATAAATGACAACAGAATATGGTAATACCTATAGAATACAGCAAAAATAGCACTAGCAGCAAAAGTTGTAACAACCAGAGCTACATAATAAAAGTAAATATTCTAGAAGGCTAAGGGAGGAGGATCACAAGTTTGGGGTCCAGCATGGGCAATTTAGTAACTCTGTCTCAAAATTAAAAAAAAAAAAAAAAAAACTACAAAGGGCTAAGAATGAAGCTCACCATGAAGGCCTTGGGTTCAATTCCTAGTACCACCATCACTTAAAAAAGAAGAGAAAGAGTTCTGAGGAGGAGGAAGGGGAGAAAGAAAGAAAGAAAGAGAGAGAGAAAGAAAGAGAGAAAAAGACAGAGTGAGAGGAGTTCAACTTATTCTTGTATTTCAAGGAACAAGAAAAACACCAAACATCAAATCAGTAAAAAAATAAGTAACAGAGAATTATGCAAAATACAAATTAAAAATCAATACAAGGATCAACAACGAGAATTCTTTCCCAAAAAGATGAACAAAGCTAGACTAAGAAAAAGATTCTCTTTATATAAATGAGATGAAAAAGAACACAACCCACACTGTAAAAATACAAAGGGTCATTAGAGAACAACTATATATTAACAAATACTCATACTCTAGGAGGAAGAATAAATTCTTGGAAGTAACATTTTACCAAGGTTGAATCATGAAGAAATAAGAAAAAAAAAGAAAAAGGAAAAGGAAAAGAAATGAAAACAAATTAATAAGGAAGAATGAAATGAAATCAATAAAATGTCTTCTACCAAAGAAAATTCCAGGGACAGCTTGACTAAATTCTATAAAATATTTAAAGAACAAACATCAATTCTCAAGTTATTCCAAAAAACTTAAAGAAGAAATTCTTCCAGACGTATTATCTATGATAACAAAGCCAGACAAGGATACAACAAAAAAGAAAACTGTATGCCAATATCTGATATAGATACAAAAATCCTCAAAATATAGCAAACTAAATCATACAGCACATCCAAAAGATTATTCATCATAACCAAGGAGAATTCATCTTAGAGATGCACAGATTAATAAATATATGTGACATACCACATAAACAGGATGAAGAACAAAAATCATATGGTCATCTTAATAGATACAAAAAGGCATTTGATAAAATTCAGCATTCTTCAAGATAAAAACTGTGAACCAATTAGTTATAGACAGAATGTACTTTGACATAAAAGCCTTATATAACAAGCTCATAGCTTATATCTCATTGAATGGGAAAAAGCTGAAAACTTTCTGAGATCTAAAAAAAGGCAAGGATTCCCATTTTCATTTTTATACAACACTGTACTATAAATGCTTGCCACAGCAATCAGATAAGAGAAACAAAGACACCAGGTCCAAGCTAGAAGATATAATGCTAAGCAAAACAAGCCAAGCACAAAAAGCACGATCTCACCCATATTTTAAATATAAGAAAAAGATCTCACAGAATTTGGCTGAGCAGTGCGGGGGTGGGTAAGGGAGCCATGGGAAAAGTCTGTCAACAGGTACCATGTAATAAGTAAAGATAAATAATTGTAGGTGCTTTATTGCAATTTGCAGGGTGGCTATAGATAATAACGTATATAAAATATACATATATACATATATGTATATTTTGTTGTTTGCTTCTTTGGTTTCATTTTTTTTTTTGTTTTTGAGACAGAGATTCATTGTGTACTTCAGGCCACCTTGAACTCACTATGTAGCCCAGGAAGTCCTCAAACTTGCAGTAATCCTCTTGCCTCAGCCTCGCGAGTGCTGAAATTATAGGTATGCACTATTATGCCAAGCCAGAATACTGTATATTTCAAAAAGTCTGGAAGAATAGATTTTGAATATTTTCACAGAGAAATAAAAAATATCTGGGGAGACACCTATGCTTCTCATGATTTGAACATTTATTCATCATATACATATGTATATTAAGACATCACCTTATATCTCATAAATATGTGTAATTTTTGTACAACTAAAAAAATTAAAAATTTCAAAATGTTTCTAACTAGAAAATATGTATTTTTGTATAGACAAGGAAAAACTTAAGATACACAAATATATAAATTAAATTTACAATCACTCTTACCCTATGACATCTTTCAAAGGCTTGTTTGGTTTCTTGTAAAAGATTAACCACCACTTCTTGGGATAGGAAAGTTTCCCCATGAGTATCAATACTTGGCCCCAGTGGTAAGTTGGTACGCTGTCTAATTCTCTCTTTCAAATCTTGAATACTAATGTATCATATAAACAAACAAACAAACAAAAATTTTTACATAAGATTTCAAGTATTCTCAGATTTATTATATACTATCAACAACAAAAAAGGACTGGTAACCAAGAGATCTAAGTTCTTATAGTAGTTTTTTTTGTTTTTATGTATTTGGTACAGGGTCTCACTATACAGCTCAGATTCATAGTGATCCTCCCATTTTTAGCCTCCCAGCATAGGATTACAGGCATGTGCCACCACATTCAGTCTCTGTGGCCACCTCCATGCACCCCAGGAGTGAGTCCAGGACGGCATGTGGTGCCAGGGATCAAACCCTGGTCCCTGTGCTTGCCTAAGCAGGCACTTAGTCTGCTGAGCTATCTTGCTGGCCCTAGTAATTAGTTTTGTGAAGATTACTTTTGCATAAAAAGCAGAGATGGAGTTATAATGTTGAAAAACTCTTTCAGCTTTACAATTCTAACTCAACCAAAATTCATTTGTATTTTTCAGGAAAGTAAGGCATTCCAAGTTAACATTATAAATAATGAGCTTTTAAAACAAAAATGTCAAAATTTCAATGGCTTTTTAAATAGAAACTTAAACACAGTGCACATTTTTTCACTCTGTTAGGCAAGACCCAGTAACACAATTTAGTTTGTCTTTGTAATGGAGGGTCATCCAGAATATTTATTACATGGTGTATCTTTAAGTTAAATTTTTTATGCTTTTAGAATATGTAGTCCTTTTTTAAAAAAAGTTTTATGATTGTTCTTTAGTTTTTCCCATCTCCTTTCATCCTACTTCTCTCTCTCTCTGATCATATTTAATACTATAACTAGGAAACAAGAAAGTGATATGTAGTGTGGACTCTGGACATTTTTGATTGTATGGCACCACAAAAATAATTCTGTCTCCACCTGTAACAGTGTGGCGAACCTATGGCACATGAGTCACATTAGGTTATTTGTATCACCGAAAATTCTAAGATTCACCATCACTGATAGAATCACCTAGGTCCAAGGAGCTATGATCTAAATAACTTATGACAAACTTAATGTAATGTTTTCATGATCAATTAATAAAAAAAATCAATTTACAATAATAAAAATGTGGTTCTTAATAACCCAGAATAACTTAACTCTCCCTAGGAAAAAAAAATCCTATACACTATAACTCTTTAACATTACTGATTGTATGCTTTATAATCAAATTTCTGCTTTAGGGGCTGGGGATATAGCTCAGCAGCAGTGCCTGCCTGACAAGTGCAAGGTCTGAGTTTGATTGCAGGTATCCCCCCCC